GTCTACAATAACACCTGGTGCTTACTGAGTACATACTCTATAGATTCTACTGGATGAATGCATAAAAGCCCGAATGAATGAGTGAACACTTTACATACAGCAGACGTGGCATAGGGGATGTGATAAAAGGCAATCTATTTATCTATCACCCTTGGAAGAAACTAATACAACAACTCTACAACTGTCAAAGAGACATGTTAAGTGCATCTGCTGCCTTTCCTGTGAGACTGTATTTCAGGGTCACCAATTACTAGCTGATGAAGGCAAGTTCCTTACAAAAGCATTGTTCAACAGCAGAAGAAATGATAGGATGTGGGGGTGGGTAAGAAGGAATCACCATCTTTACGATCCCTAATGAGATCATGTACTTATGCGATGATCATTGACAAATAAAGTCATTAGATGAAAAACACAGAGTAGGGACCGGCACAACAGAGGCATCAGATGCTAGTCACTAAAGCTACTAGTCAAACGCAACAGCGCCAAGCGTGGAGCAGCCAGACCATATGTTCCTCCCAAGAAGATGGTATATGAAGTATGTAGCACTGGGAAAGCAAGACTTCTTATCAACAAAAGAGAATCTGACTCCAATCAAGCCTCTGGATCTAACTCCCAGTTTCTAGTAATTTGGGTGACAAAAATGTTAAATGACAATGCAAAGCCAAACCCAGCATGTAGAACATTCTACTGCCCAAGTGACTTAAGTTTTTTCAACAAGCAAATGACTTGGAAAAAAAGGAATATTCTAAATGAAAGAGACTAAGACTCAGTAACAAAATAAAAGGTATATACTACTTAGGATTCAATGCAAAAAGACAATGATAAGAAATGTGATAGAGACATTAACATATGGAATGAGTAGTAAATGATATCAAATAATTATTCATATTGCTGATGTGGCAATCGTATCGTGTCTTTGTGCTTTTTAATAGAAGCACAGTAAAGCCTGGAGGAGGGATGAATATGACATGCAGTCTACTTGTAATAGCCTCTGAGTAAAAGGGGAAAGATAATTGGATCTGGGTGGATGCACATGGGACTTTCCATGACTGTCTTCTGTTTAGCATAAGTTTGACATTTTCTAAATAGAAGGTATTTTTTAAAAAAAAAAGTCTTTAAAAACAAATCACAGCTTCCCTCTTTCCTGCTAGCCACATATGAAACTTTTGACATCAATAGCAACTTTTTTCCACTTAATTACTTCATTCCCACTTCCACTACATATAATATAGTCAGCATATAATTCACTTTCCAAAGCTAGTTTAAATCTTTCCAATGCTGGGTGATGATCCGTTTTTCTAAAACCTTACTTCCAGACTGAGAAAGATAATGTACAGGGCAGGGGTGATGGAACAGGGCCCTATTTCTGGACAAAGAGTCTTCCCTAGCCTCTAGTTCCCATTCCTCTCATCAGAATGAGAAAGAGTTTTTAAGGCCTTCTCACTTCTGTTCCCGGAGAAGACCCAGCTACTACCCTGCTACCACCCAGTGTCCTCGTCAGTGTTACAGAACAAGGTTGCTTCTTGAACAGAAGAGACAACCTTCAAGCGGAGAAACAGGAAAGTGAAGCAAAGGCTGAAAGAGGCAGATAAAACGCTGCAGTTCCCAAGTTGCCAGTAGTCTCCTGATACTCTCTCCCTTTCCGTTATCTGAGAGAGAAGCCCCCTGTCCTTCGAAAAAATGCAGTGGCACAAACTCAGCCTTCTCACAATGTCGGGGTTGAATACTCTTTCTCTTCTCCTACGTCCTATCCAACATTGTTATGTTTACTAACTGGGTTAACTCATTTACTGGATTTGCCTTTTTCACTATGTTTCAAGTGGTTTTTACTGTAGTAACAGCTTCCAGGTACTCCTTACTTTGTTTTCATTTTTTTCAACTTTGATTGTCTTTCCTCAGAAAGTTAAGTGAAATAGAATGTGGAGCTGATATAACAATAACTGCAAGAAAAAGAGCTAAAGGAGCTTCCTATAACCATTTCTGAATGTATGTGCATACAAATTAATTCCTATGATGAAAGAACAATAAAAATACATTTTTTTTTCAGGAAAATGAGACACCCATCACTTGTATTTTCCTTTTAAAAAGAGTTTCCAATTTGTTTCTTATATAGTCAAGTCACAACTCAGCAACTATGTAGAAGCAAATTTCCAGGTGCTTTATTTCCATCAACCTAAACCTGATAGTTAGGACTCATTTCATCATTGCCAGTGATCGAATATCAAGAGATCCCAGGAAATACTGACCTAAAGGAAATTCCATGAGACAACACAACACAATGCAGACAAAAGACACCGAACATCCCAAAATAACATCCAGTCTAGCTGGCTTCCTTTCCTATGTGCTTCAACATTAAAAATGGATATGCTGGGGTCTGAAATCTGTTTAGGTAATAGGAGCTACCCTTTTGAAGTTAAATTGGTTGTTGGTATTAGAACCACTTGGGGGAAACAGAGTCAGTTTACCCCAACTGTATGCTACAATTAAATAATTAAAATTGAAGCTTAGTTAATGCTTACAAAGAAGGGCCCCATGATATAAAATATTTTCAGGTTAAAACTCTTTATTACCAAATACAAGTTTGGTTTTTTATTAAATTAACAAGAAAATTACTGTAAGTAATTCAATTCCCAGAAATATAGAGATCACTCTAGGTAAGCAAATATAGTGATCACTATAGGTGAGCAAAGATGAGAAAAGAGAAGTCCTATGGTTAATTACAGTCCACTGTGCTGGAAGGTACATTTGATTCTGAAGGTGAGACTTCTCAGTCCAAAGTCCTTCAGTGGTGATGGCACAGCAGACTACTCACCAAATGGCTCTGGTATCAGTGGTTAATAAGTGACCTCTAGATCTTTATATATGTCAATCAAATCAATGAATCAGTCTTACTTCCCTGCAGCCAAAATAGTCAAATCCAGCAGTGGAACATGGAGGTCACAAAATATCAGACTGAGATGACTACCAAAGGTCAGGAAAGAATTATTCAGACCTTATTACTTAGCAAATCCGATTTCTAAACTAAGAACAATGGACCAGGGGATTCGGGAAAAGTCTTCCTTCTTCACAGGCAAGCCTGGAAGATATCAGCTTAATTTTAAAAGCAGTCGTTCTCAAAGCACATTTGTATGAAATAATATAGTTGAAAAGAGAATAAAGACTAACAGAGTATTATTATGTGTAAATAATATGGAGGTGACTCCATGTGGAAGAGAAGGAAAAAATTGAGATTTAAAGCAAATATCTTGACGTCAAAAGTCTATAGGTACCAGGAAGCTTAGATAAATCCGTTAAGATTTGTTGGGATACATACTTAGAAAATGCTAAAGGCTAGCACACTTCAGTCCTTCGAATAGTAACAAGACTAGATATTTAATCTTCTGAAACATTTCCAGTCCCTATTCCTATATGTGACATTTCTAGATTGTTCAACATTAACAATTTAAAAAAAATTAGGGCCCTCCCTAGTGGCTCAATGGGTTAAAGCACAGTGCTACACAGCCAACCACAGCTGCTTCAGCACAAGTTTGATCCCCCCCGCCCCGGAGCTGTGACCCACATGGCACAGCAGACCTCTCCTGCCTTGCCCACTGCTCTCCTCAGCAGTGTACGTCATCATTTTGTCTGTTCTGCTTCCCACTCTGCCTCTGCATCTCTAGTCTGTACCCCAGTTCTGTATGCATAAATAAATAAATTTTTTTAAAAGAATTTTTTAAAAATTAGGCTAAAGTATGGTGTGTGGGCTACCTGTTTGCAAGCTCTTCTCTAAAATGTAATTTTAAATAATGTAATAAAAAAATTAAAAATAGCACAGTAAACAAAAGAAAATTCCTCACATAACAATGTTTACATGAAATGACTGAACCTTGATTCCTGCTACCAGGAGCGACAGTTCATGCAAAGGTTACCTTATCAGAACACTTGGGGAACATTTCCCAAATTATAGTGTCTACACTATCAATACCACCCCCATGCCTGAGCCCCAGCAGGAATAAGAGCTTGAGTAGAAGATACATAGCTGTAAAAGGTCCCGTAGAACACTGACAGCACTCCCAGTCTACAGATCTCTGACCTCGAGAAAGATGTGTTCGTGTAATTGGGAGGGATGTGTCTAAATTGTGAAGACCAAATTCACTGGGCTTGAGATGTCAACTAGTACATGTAAAATGACTCTGCAAATAATAACTGCAAATATCAAAGAGGACAAGGAGACCATGGAAATACTTCTGGTATCACATTCGTTATTTTAGCCCCGTGTATAAAAAGAAAACAGTCACTGTCCACTTGTTTACTATGAAAGATTTTTAAAAACTGGGTGCATTTAAAAAAATTTTTTTAATGTTATGCATACACAACTGAAGTACAAGCAGAGGTACAGGGGCAGTGAGAGAATTCACCAGAAAGACAGTGGGGAGCAGAACAGGCAGATCAATGAGGTACACTGCTGAGGAAAGCAGCAGGCAGGTCAGGAGAGGTCTGCTTGCGCCATGTGGGTCGCCTCCCCGGTGTGGAATTGAACTCGCACTGAGGCAGCGGAGGCAGCTTGCAGTGCTGCATTCTAATCCATTGTGCCACCAGGGAGGGCCCAAAAACTGGATGCATTTTAAGAATGTGTGTATGTGTGCGTGTGTGGGTTTGTGTGCATATCTAACAAAAAGCAAGGGCACAGGGTAAGAAAGGGTGACGCTTTGATCATAGCTTTGGTCTGCAGATTCATTACTCAGTGAGGGAAGAAAGACTTTATTTCCACATGATGCCAGGGTGCAAGTAGAAACAGGTTAACACATACTTTGGGATGTTTTTCTACTTCTTATCCTTAAAGAACATTACAGAACTTTTTATTTAGACAGCTAAACACAATGAGGATTAACTCATATTGTCAGATTTCAAATACACGTTCAAAGTATAAACATCTTCCTGAGATTTACTAATACCTCACTTATCTTTCACACTCCTTAATCTAACTGCTTTTAAGTTTAAGTTGAGTTCTCCTGACTCACCTTGTAAGTTGGTGTCTAATGGTCCTCCCGTGTCAGCTTTTGGGTAAAAGCTGTGCGCTGTGCTTTTTCCTCAGAGGCCTGAGCTTTTTTCCTAGGAATTCTGTCGACTGTTAGAATTACTGGGTAAGTAGCAGGAGTGGCGCCTTGACTTCCTCCTCTGGTTGTTTTGCAGCAAGTGGCAGAAGCTAAAAAAGACAGGTTACAGTTAGCGTATCCTTCCATAGAATTTTCATGAACTTCTTTGGTAGTGTCTATGAATGACCAATCAGAAAAATTCCTTTCAATTTATCTTTTGAGGAGAAAATTCATAAGGGTTGTGTCTCAGCTTCTCATCTTCTTTGCTCAACATTCTGTAATTTCAAAAATGTAACCAGTATTCACAATAACTCAATTTACACAGCGAACAAAATATTTTTCCAGAAACATATTTAATTCTCCAATTAAAGGTAAACTGCAAACAGTGCTTTTAAAAGCTGCAAGTTGACATGATCTCATCCCACACGCATATAAATGTACAATACCAGTGTCCTGATAAAGACACATGTAAATATAATGTCTCTGATTTGTCTTAATAGTGTAATTACCACCTTAAATTTGAGCAATCCTCTAGAAAGAACTGACTATAATATCAAAGAATACAAAATTTTCAACTTGACATAATTTCTCAGAAGGCATGAGAAAGATAGAAAATGTTTATGAGAAGGTAAAACATGTTCACTTTAATTGAAAAAAAGAAAAACCTTAGCAAGTAACTCAAAGTAAAAGATAAAGTAAGTTACTTTCATCCTAAAATACAACCCTGGATTTTCCCTTCAAGTCATAACCTCTCCAGCAGTACATTTATTTGTAGCTTAAAAATAACTCCCAGGTTTGATTTTTTGTTTATTTGTTCCTTCTCTTTATTTTATCTTTTATCTTTTTATTTATTTTGTTACACGCACACACACATTCTAAAAGATCATGATTAATGAAAATATAAAAGGTTTACATCTACCCAGGTGTGGAGAAGGAGTTTTAAACTTCCCTTCCACCTTTAAAAACTAGTTCTTTACAAATTCTCTATTGTGTTATAAGACAAATCCAAGCATCTTTGTAGGTTTCAAATAAATTTTAATTGATGACTATGATGATAACTTAGAAGAACTAAGGTTAGGGTTCATCAAGATTATTTTTCTATGCTCAGCATTTTGTTTATTTTTTGAAACATTGCTCAACCTATGCTCTGTAATGCTCATAATGAAGGGAGGGCTGCAAAGGAATGGTCAGCTACAGAAACTCCTCCACCTCTTTCTTGTTCCTTTCTAGGGTAGAACCTGTGAAGCTTTAGAAGGAGAGAATACAAAGAAATAAAAAATAAAATAAGATGAAGAATTATGATCATGAGTCCCCTGTGCTATTACGACAGTCCTTTCTACCCATTTCAATGTCATTGCTCTGCCTTAGTCTTACCCAGCATAGTGTCTTACCACCATGTCATGGTAACTGGGGAGGTAAAGGAGACCAGAGAAGCTGTGCTAGACTGAGAGTTCAGCTATGCTTCCCCACATCCAGTCACAGAGGGGACAAAGAAAGCAGCATCAATCTCACTGTCTACTTCTACTGACCATCTCTAAGGAACTTCCTTTTCCTTCTCACACACACTGCCTGTGCCTTTGTGTTCAGTCTAAATAACTCAGACCTGAGGAGCATTTTCCCACTTCAGTCTTCCTTTCCCTGCCCATCCTTTCAATGTTTAGCCCAACTCCAAACTCCTTCACTGATCTTTCCAGCTCCTCATGGCACCTGACTTCTGGTCAGTGCTACTAGGGTGAGCTAATTCTGGTCTGATGTGTTGCTCACACCTCTTATCTCCCTACCAGATGAGGTCTAGGAAGCAGGGACAAGACCTTCCACCCTAGCACACAGTAAACGTAGGGATTTTTTACAAAGTGAAATTTGCAAGGTTTCCATTTATAGGTGCTTTGTAAGAAATGAATCCATTATTGCCCAATTTGTAGAAAAGTATGCTTCACACAGCCTGTATGCACTGTGCAGGGATGAAGTTTGTGGCTTGTTCTGAGACTGTGATTAACATTCTCATTCACATTCTGTGCAAATTTCAAAAGATAAGCATGACAGAAAGATTCATAGCACATTTGCATTTCAAATTCCAGATGACTTACTATCTTAAATCTTACATAAAAACTGCAAAGTTAATCAAATGTAGCAACCAAACTTTCTTTGAATGAACTGTATGGGGTCTTATTTTTACCTTGCATAAAATGTGTATGCGAGAGAAGTCCAAAGTTTATAACACCCACATTGATTAATTCTTAAAAGCTCTAGTTAAGAAATAAACTCAGAAGGGAAGTGGTTGTTTCTAAAACTACCTAACATTGATATTTTAAAAAAGCATATCTGGCTTTTATCAACACACAAAAAAAAACAACCATATTCTAATTTAAGACATCCTCTGCAGACCAAAAATACTACAGACTCCCTCCTCCTAAGTCATTAATCAATTCAGAGTTGAGAAGGCTGATATGGACAGTTCCTCTGCCAACAAGTATTCAGGTAGGAGTCTCTGGAAGAAAAAAAATCCCACCAAAGGAGCTTAGTGATTTGGCAAAGATTCCTTCTGATTGGCTCATTTGGAAAGGAATGAGCCAGTATCTCAGCAACAGAAATTTTCCTGGAAGTTGTGGTACAAGTGACCCTCCTGTAGCCTGATATTGCCCACTATCCACTGTGTCCTCGTCTAGCACACTCTACATTTTTAATTCAGATCTCCCCAGAACTCAAGATGTGCTCTTTACCAAAGACTAGACCTTCTGGTAGCAACCAAGTTTATACACAGAATGCAAAGTGAAGATGGGATAAAGCAAGCACCACAATTCAGTAATATTTGACAGAAATTCTTTTCTTTTTTTAAGATTTATATATTTGTGCATACAAGAACTGGGATACAGGCCAGAGACATAGAGGGTGAGAGGAGTCACCAGACAGACTGGGGAGCAGAACAGGTGGACTGATTGAAATACACTGCTGAGGGGGGCAACAGGGAGGCAGGAGAGGTCTGTTAACCCATGTGGGTCAGCTCCCTGGCCAGTGGCTGCTAATAGCTTCATAGTGCTGTCCTTTAGCCCCTTGCACTACCAGGCAGGCCCCCAAAAGGAGAAATTCTTAAAATAGTAAAGATATTTAAAATGACCAGGACAACCAGAAGAGTTATACAAATTTAGCAGTCTACATAGCAAAGTCCATTTCACAACAAAAACAAGTGCTGAGGCATTTTTCCTAAAGATGTTTTGTATGTTCTACAAAACATGGTACTATTTCAATGCCTACATTGCTTTCATGAAGGGTTGGTCTTAATTTAGTGTTAAATATTTTTAACAATCTTCCCAGAAAACTGTAGTCAAAACATGGTATAATGCCTTTGTTCGTTATCATGCTTACTTTGTCGACTACTTCCACTAACTACTTTAGTTGGGGAAGACTGTTTCCCCCCCACCATTGGCAGCCATGTTTACAAAAGAAATTGATTTTCTTCAATTTTTCAATTTAAATTTCAATTAGATAATCCCAAATAGACTGAGAATTTCTACCCTGCATCTAAGTCCTGGAGAATACAGTTGTAGTGCTATAACCCAATGGATTTGGGCAAATATGATATTTTGGGGTAACATCCTAATGAGGAAATCATAAACTCCAGTAGCTTTCACATACCAACTACAGTTACTTTCTTTTCAATAACTGTGGAGCGGGACCTACCTGGTGGTACAAGGGGCTAAAGCTTAGCACTATAAAGCTATCCACAACCACTGCAGCACCAATTCGAATCCCAGCCTGGGAGCTGATCCACATGGCACAACATACCTCTCCTGTCTCACCAGCTGCTCCTCTCAGCAGTGCATTTCAGTCAGTCTGCCTGTCCTGTTCCCCACTCTGTCTCTGGTGAATTCTCTCAGCCCTCACACCTCTGCCCTGTACCCCAGTTCTTGTATGCATAAATAAATATTTTCAAAAATAACTGTATAGCAGAAGATTTCTAACTTTAACTTTATCTAACATCATAAATGAAAGATGTTAAATTTCATCAACTGAAATAACACATTCAAGTTTTCACATCTGCCATTTTTGAGATGTCCCACACATTTTTTTTTTTCAGAAACATGACTGAAGTAATATAATATGCAATCAACATACTAAAAAAATAAAATATTTTATTAAACACAGAGCCCTAAAGGCTGATGATATTTCAGCATTGGAGATGTCAAAATACATAGAGGAACCGCACAAGTTGGGCAGAGAGCAGATATGTTTGGGGACATTGCAGAAAGTTCTGTTTGGTTCAAGATTTCAAGAAGTCCATCATGGTTGGTACAGCTGGAAAGCTAGCTGGGATTAGAGCATATAGGCCCTTCAAACTAGGGTAAGGAATTTGGGCTTTATTCTCACTCCTCAGTTTCAAATATTAATTCCAGTGTTTTATGTTAAACCTTTTAACTTAAAGTTAAGATTATTATTTTTTAACTTAAGTGTTAAAATTTAAGATTATTAAGTATGATTACTAAGGAAGTCCAACACATTCTAAGTGAAATATGACCGTGTGACTCATGGCGTCATTTAGGAAGAGTTTTAACAAATGCCCAAAATGCTCATTCATCGCAAGACAACTTCAAGGAAAGCTTAAAACATTAAATAAAAATGTTTAAGAATTGTATGAACTTGGCAGAAGACCTGTTTGAGAAAAGGCCAAGAAATCTGGAAAAATAGTTAAGTGTCAAATCACATACTTCATGAATTCTTGATGATCAGATACTTGATAAAGTAGGGGAGAGGTAAGGAACACTATGACCAACCCATAGTTAAATCTCCAGAAGTTACAACAAAAGCTATCTAAACTCAATTACATTTACTTTACGATGCTACCACTATTTTACCATGAAAAGCAACAGAGCTCTGTGACCTTGAGTGAGCTTCCTTACTTCTCTGTGTCCTGGATTCCTTTTGCATAAAATGTGGCTCTTTCATGGCGATGTCTGAGGATTAGCAAGTTAATGTGTGGAAAGTATTCTGAACAGTCCTGCACACAGCAAGTACCCAGATAGTGTTGCTGCTACTCAGTCTCTTCTCCCCAGCTAGCTTTACTGCTGACTCCTTTGCCCTTCTCCTCCTGGGCTCCCCCTGAGTGGCACTGTCT